GGCTGAGGCAGGAGAATGGCGTTAACCCGGGAGGCAGCGGAACTTGCAGTGAGTGGAGATTGCGCCTCTGCACTCCAGCCTGGGTGACAGAGCGAGACTCCGTCTCAAAAAAAAAAAAAAAAAAAAACACAGCTGGCAGGGCGTGGTGGCTCATGCCTATAACCCCAGCACTTTGGGAGGCAGAGGCGGGTGCGTCACCTGAGGTCAAGAGTTCGAGACCAGCCTGACCAACGTGAAGAAACCCCTACTAAAATACAAAACACATACAAAATTAGCCGGACATGGTGGTGCATGCCTGTAATCCCAGCTACTCAGGAGGCTGAGACAGGAGAATCACTTGAACCCGGGAGGCAGAGGTTGCAGTGAGCCGAGATCGCGCCACTGCACTCCAGCCTGGGCAACAACAGCGATGCTCCATCTCAAAAAAAAAAAGAAAATAAAACAGACAGCTGTGGCAGGGCACAGTGGCCCACGCTTGTAATCCCAGCATTTTGGGAGTCTGAGGCAGATAGATTGTTTGAGCCCAGGAGCCCCAGATCAGCCTGGGTAACATGGCAAAACCCCATATCTACAAAAAATACAAAACTTAGCCAGGCATGGTGACACACGCCTGCGGTCCCAGCTACTTGGGAGGCTGAGGTGAGAGGATCATCTGAGCTCAGGAATTCAAGGCTGCAGTGAGCCAAGATCATGCCACTGCACTCCACTGTCTCAGAAAAACAAACAAACAAACAAAAACCACTGTTGTATCCCTAGTGCCTTGCACACAGAAGGTATCTAATAAATATTTGTTAAATGAATGAAAGAAATGAGAACAGACGCTCAGAGAGGTTAAGTAATTCGCTTCAAGTCACCCAGCTGTTAAGGGAGTCAGTCAGTTTCAGTTCAGTCTCTCTTTCCCAGATACTGTGTGCCTGAAATACCATCCTATAAATTGACCCTCTCTCTTAACCATCTGCCCAACCTTTCAGTCTTTCCTGTGGGCCCAGAGCTTGTTGTGGTGCCTGACACATGCTCCATAGATGTAGGAAAAGTAGGGAACAGAAAAGGAGCGGAGGGCCCACCGGGGGTAGAATGACCCACCCTTTTCCCAGCTCCCGCAGCACTTCCATCCCATCTCTGTGTAGTGCTTACTACTGTGTGGTTGTATGATGGTTAGTTTCTCTCACATCTTCTCCTCTACCAAAGCATGAGCTCCTTGAGGTCAGAGAGAATGTCGTCATCTTGTATCCCTACCAACTACTGCCGACAGCATACTCTCAGCTCTGGGATGTATAATTAAATGTCTGATAATGAAAATACTTTGAATTAAGTAAGTCACAGTCCCCAACTATGGGAGCTATGATCCCTCTCTGTCTTGGATCCCCGGGGCCTGTTGGAATCCACAACCACGTGGGTCTTTGATAGACGATGGTGGGAGCACTGGTTGGTGGAAGAATGCAGAGGGCAGAGAGACTAGGGAGAGAGAATGGAGCAGCTAAGACAGCTAAGACCTCATTGACTTGACAGTTTCACCTGGTGTCCATCTGACAAACCAAAAGCAAAGTGTTACTTGGGGAAGCAAATTATTTATTTATAAAAATTTTTATTATTATGGATAATAAGTATACCTACTTATGGGGTACATGTGATATTTTGATACAAGTATACTGTATACAATGTGTAATGATCAAATCAGGGTAATTGGAATGCCCATCTCCTCAAGCATTTATCATTTCTTTGCGTTAGGAACATTCCAATTACATTTTTAGTTATTTTGAAATATACAATAAGTTATTGTTAACTCTTGTTGCCCTATTGTACTACCGACACTGAATCTTATTCCTTCTACCAAACTGTATTTCCGTACCCACTAATTATCCTTCTTTATTACCCTCTCCCACCTCTGATAACCATCATTCTACTCTCTGTCTCCATGAGTTCAATTTTTTTTAGCTCCCATATATTAGTGAGAACATGCAGTATTTGTCTCTCCTGTGCCTGCCTCATTTCACTTAACATAATGTCCTCCAGTTTCATCTAGATTGCTGCAAATGACAGGATTTCGTTTTTTCTTATGGCTGAATAATATTCTGTAGTATATTTATACCACTTTTTAAAATCCATTAATCCATTCATCTGTTGTTGGACACTTAGGTTGAGTTGTATGTTTTGTTTTTTTTTTTTTAAGACAGAGTCTTGCTCTGTTGCCCAGGCTGGTGTAGAGTGGTGTGATCTCAAATCACTGCAGCCTCCACCTCCCGGGTTCATGCGATTCTTGTGCCTCAGCCACCCAAGTAGCTGGGATTATAGGCATGTGCCACCATGCCCGGCTAATTTTTATATATTTAGTAGAGGCACGGTTCCCCCATGTTGGCCAGGCTGCTCTCAAACTCCTGACCTCAAGTGATCCACCCACATTGGCCTCCCAGAGTGCTGGGATTATAGGCATGAGCCACTGCACCCAGCCTTAATTCCTATCTGGACCATTGTGACTAATGCTGCAGTAAGTTTGGGAGTAAAATCAGTCTCTTCAGTATACCAATTTCCTTTCTTTTGGATATATATTCAACAGTGAGATTGCTGGATCATATGGTAGTTCTACTTTTAGTTTTTTCTGAGGAACCTCCAAACTTTTGGAGTGTCCACAGTGGCTGTACTAATTTATATTCTCACCAGCAGTGTACAAGGACCCCCCTTTCTCCATATCCTTGCTAGAGTCACTTATTGGCTGTCTTTTTGATAAAACTGTACGAGATAATATTGTGGTTTTGATATGCCTTTCCCAGATGATTAGTGATATTGAGCATTTTTTCACATACCTTTTGGACATTTGTATGTCTTTTGATAAATGTCTATTCAGATATTTTGCCCATTTTTAAATCAGAATATTTGTTTTCTTTGTATTGAGTTGTTTGAGCCCTTTATGCACTGGGAAACAGATAATTTAGTTGTTAAGATGGCAAAGCAGATATACTTAAAAATATCAATCTATCGGCCGGGTGCAGTGGCTCACGCCGGTAATCCCAGCACTTTGGGAGGCCGAGACGGGTGGATCACGAGGTCAAGAGATCAACACCATCCTGGTCAACATGGTGAAACCCCGTCTCTACTAAAAATACAAAAATTAGCCAGGCGTGGTGGCCGGCGCCTGTAGTCCCGGCTACTCGGGAGACTGACGCAGAAGAATCGCTTGAACCCAGAAGGTGGAGGTTGCAGTGAGCCAAGTTCACGCCACCGCACTCCAGCCTGGCAACAGAGCAAGACTCCGTCTCAAAAAAAAAAAAAAATCTGTTCTTCATTATTAAATAAGCGTGCAGTTGTTGAGTTTTACTCAAAGTGAAGCAGTGTTGTAGATCTGGAGTCCCAATATTTGGCTCCATTTCCTACGAGAGAAATGTAAGCTATGACTGTCACTTTATTTCTCTAGGCCTTAGTTACCTCACTTATAGTAAAAGGACTATTTTGAGGATAATGTATAGGAAAGAAGTGTATAAATTATAAAACATTGCTGTATTGTTTGTATATTTTATATTTTGTAATCAGTGAAAGTTTAATCAGTTAATGTTTAACAGATTCAAATGCCATGTTTTTTTTTTTTTTTTTTGAGACGGAGTCTCACTGTGTCTCCCAGGCTGGAGTGCAGTGGCGCGATCTCGGCTCACTGCAAGCTCCACCCTCCGGGTTCACGCCATTCTCCCGCCTCAGCCTCCCAAGTAGCTGGGACTACAGGCGCCCGCTACCATGCCCGGCTAGTTTTTTGTATTTTTAGTAGAGACGGGGTTTCACCATGTTAGCCAGGATAGAATGCCATGTTTTAAAACAGTCTCTGATATCTCCCATTCCTCTTTGCTTAGTGTAATAGTAGTTGCTTATGCTAATAACGAAAGAAAACAAAGAGGAAGAATTTAACTGGACTTACTCCCCAGAGGAGTGAGTCCTGGAACAGAATACCGACTTGGGTCTGTATGTCTCTTGCTAGCTACTTAGGGTAGTTGCAAACATATCCTCAACTATATAGGTTCTGAAAAGTCAGGCAATGGGTCATTTTGGAGGTAGGAATGTGGGAGGGCCCTTTTGATATTAGGATAACCATTCATTGAACAAATACTTCTGGAACATCTACTCAATATAAGCCACAGTAGAAAATGTAAATATGCGTAATCCTTAGTCCTGCCTCGGAACACTGTCCTCAAGAGGTGTGGAACAGACAGACCAAAAGCATGCAATAGCAGGTAGCAAAGATAAGACTAACATAGGAGATTGGGATGGATTCCATGGGGATACAGATAACGTGCTGTGGCCGGGAGGTGGACACAGTTTTGCCATAGTGAAAGTCAAAAGAGACTCAGGAGGAGGCATCTGCGGGAGTGAGCCTTGGAGGGTGTAGGATTGGGGTGGATGAAAATCAAGACGAGGGCTGCTAGTAGGTGTGCGGGAGCTGAGGTGTAGGAGCAGGGGGACAGTGTGCTCTTCGCCATGCTTGAGCTGATTGAGGGGAGAGTTTTTGCTTTCTTCTCAGGGTATAACCCAAGTCCATTTTGTCCTTTCCCTGTGAGTGGTGACTTCTCTGCCCTGAAGTTGGCTGCTGTGCAGAGATAAACGTTTTCACCTTTGGGGAATAAGTAGTAGTGATGGGAAACCCTACTAGGTGTTTTGCAATGCTGCTAGCACCTTGACGTTTCTTACCACCTTGAGCAATTACTCAAGTTGTCTGTGCCTTGGTTTCCTTATATGTAAAATGGGACTATTACCCATCTTTGAGAGTTATTATGCTAATTAAATGAGATTACTTTTTGTTTTGTTTTGTTTTTTGAGGTAGAGTTTCGCCTTGTTGCCCAGGCTGGAGTGCAGTGGCGCAGTCTTGGCTCACTGCAGCCTCTGCCTCCTGGGTTCAGCAATTCTCCTATACCTCAGCCTCCCGAGTAGCTGGGATTACAGGCATGTGCCACTACACCCGGCTAATTTTTTTTTTTTTCTTTTTAGTGGAGATGGAGTTTCTCTGTGTTGATCAGGCTGGTCTCAAACTCCCGACCTCAGGTGATACGCCCACCTCAGCCTCCCAAAGAGTTGGGATTATAGGCATAAGCCACCTCTCCTAGCCGAGATGACCTCCATAAAGCATTTAGATACTCAATAAATTAATTGTTTTAATTTACTGTAATCAGCAAAGCATTTTATAGACCCTTATCCTGGATTAGAAATTGCATGGGAGCCAGGAGAAAGGCTGACACATTCTCAAGCTAGGGTGCTTCTAGTCTTCCCCTCTCCCTGAGTGTTCAGACTCTGAATGCCAGAAATCAGTCCTTGGAAGATAATCATGTTTGCTACTGAAATGTTTATGACACAGTGAACCAAACATGGTGTGACTAATCAGCTGAGAGCTTGGATCTTGGCTTGGTTTGCATGCAGATTCACTGGTCTGAGAGATTAATAAGTTCCTTGCAGTTGACAAACAGGGACTACAGTGCTTTCTGGCTAATTGTGATAATAGAACCAGAGCCCATCACCAAGTGACCCCTGGTTCTCTGAGTCTACAGTGCTTCTGTACTGAGCCCACAGCCCATTACATTATTCATTGTTCTACATTCCTCCGTGTCATATTTCATTATCCTTGGAGCCTGGTGTGATCAGTAAGCGTCTGTTGAACTAGCTAGGACTGCAGTGGACAACTGTGATGTGTGAGGTCTCTTCTGTGTAGGGAAGAGTGAATTACAAGTAAAACTCAGTGAAGAGCACCCTTCCAACAATTGTAGCTATGATGGGATACATTCTGGGGTGGTTCTCCTGGACAGCAAGAAAATCTACTGAAGAGCTTTCAAGAATGACTTTCAACTTGGGAATTCTATGTAATGTTTCTCACTGAGAGGGCCCATTGCAATCTAAAGACAGGTGCCCAGACCACTCCTCAAACCTCTTAAGTCCAAATATGTACAGGTGAAACCCAGACATGTGCACTGTTTAAGGTCCCACTGATGATTCTGATGTATACAGCTTGCTGGTGTTCACGGGCTTGGGAACCTGGAAACCCTGGGTTCTAATGATGCTGCATTACTTTGTGTGAGTCACATAACTTCACTGGGACTTAGTTTTTCCACCTGTAAAATAGGAATAATATTTTATTTGCAGAGATGTTCAGAGAGAAGAATGGCCGTGTGTGAGCTTTCATAGTCAAGAGCACTGGAAAATGAAAAGTGCTATAGCGTGCTTTGGAATTCCACTGGCACCTCAAAAGGCATAGTGAACCTAGATGTGTTAGAAGTGTGGCTTGTACAGACTACAATGTTTGATCTAGAACTTATGCTGGTTCGTGGTCTTTCTTGGATTTTATACCTCAATAACTAGTCACTGGGCTCTTCAGAGCATTTCGTAATAGTTTACAGACAAGAAGAATTATTTTCACTCCAGTTAACCAGTTCAGACTCTGCCAAATGCCAGGGTTGACTCACAGTGCATTCTTTGCAACTACTCTGCCCCCCCTCTTCATCAGCACGAGTGCTAGAAGAGAGAAAAGACTATCTACTTTCACTTGTTGTGTGACCCTGGGAGAAACAGGAACACTTGGAGCTCTTTCCTATTTGGAAATCAACTCTGGGTCCCATGTGCACAGACTGCACACCAAAGACACCAAGGAGGAGAACCAGGAGCAAGGAAGATGAGCGCCCCCTCGCAGGGCTCCCCTGCCTAGTTTTTTGGAAGTTACCACTCTTACTCATTTTTTACTGTATTTGCTAGATCAGACAACTGTGTATCAAGTCAAGATAGAGGCTTCCTAAGGGAGGTGAGGAGATGGATAAAAGTGGTTGGATGTATTTTTATGAGCAGGGCAATGAAACATATTCTGTGATTTAAGAAGTGTACTCAGTGATGGAATTCCTTTTCCTGGAGAGAGGATGCATTCAAATCAGATGTACCTTAGAGCACTTCCAAAGCCACAGAATGAAGACTGTGTACTTTTATTCTCCACTTATTGGGGAGTGAAGGAATAGAGATTCCTAAGGAAGAGAAGGTTGACACGTTTTGCTACAGTTGATAAAATTCTTGTTTGTTGTCCCGGGCTTCTTGGTTGGGACATTCATGATTATCAGATCCCTGGAATGAACAAAGTACTAAGTTCATCCCTACACATGACCGAATGCTTAAACACAGCTTGCCTCATAGCAAGGTGGGATGAGAGGATGCTATACCAGTACTTTGTGGATATAAAATTCTGTCCATTGCCAGGACAACTTTTCATTGTTTTCCACAGGTGGAGCTCTCCATGGTCTGGCTACTGTCTCTTGAAGCATGGCTCCTTCCACTCCATAAAAATGATTTAGTCTGGATCTGCACTCACCACTTGGCTTCCCCATTTCCAAACCTTTGTTTTCTTTCCGTGAAATCCTCTAAAACCCAGCCCTGTGCATGCAGTATTTCTTCAGGAAGCCTTTTCTGACCTCTACAGCCCACAAAATTTCTCTTTTTTCTGAAGTCTCATGCAACACTTAAGGTATATAATAAATAATCTGATATTTAATTTTCTCTGTCTTATCCTCTTAACTGGATCGAGGGTTAGTTGAAGACATCTGTCACACTTGAGCAGAGCTGGATACATCTCAGCTTCTCAGCACTCTTTGTTTATTCATTTTTATTACCTTTTTTTTTTTTAACCTCCTCCTTTATCCTGGTCATGTCGCAGGCCCTAGAAGAGGAAATGGCAGTAAAGAGGATAGTTGCTGCCTTTTTGATGTCTGTTCATTGCTAAGCATGAAAGCTTTTGGGGATTTTGATGGAAGTGCTGAATCCAGTGAGCAGCATCTGTTTGTGGATGGGAAGGATCAGCCGGAAAGACTAACAGGGCCGAATGGTAGATTTTCAAAGCTGTAGGGATTGACAAAAGGGTTTGAGTTAGTAAAAACCCATGTGAAATTTTAAAAGTCCTTACGTATATAAATGAAGAGCTTCTGATTCTTCTAGATTCATATACAAACAAGATAACACACTTTCAAATGCGCCCACTGTACTGTGGACACTTTCGTTATCACATCTAATGTTCACAGTAATCCTATGAGCACCAGTCAAAAGCAGGTTCTAGAGTGAGGTAGTTACATTATTATTACCATTTTACCTAAGAGGCTTCTAAGATTCAGAGAGGTTAAATCACCTCCTCAGAGTCACACTGCTTAAGTGGCAAAGCTAGGATTTGGATCTGCGTCTTCTAACTAAAAAGTCAACATTTGTTTTCATCATTCTGTAGCTGCTTTCTACCCTAATTTTGTAAAACAAGGAAAACCTATTGGTTGTTCTAGCGACATTTGTTTTATATAATGTTTTGTTGAATAAGTGACTGTCTCACACTTAGTGAACTTGACTGTGATCAGTGTAACCTGCTAAGCACTTGGTATGCATAAGCATATGTACTTGTAGCCTCACAAGAGCCCTGTGAGATAGCTGCTGTTATTGTCATGTCCATTTCACAGATGAAGAAAGTGAGTCATATGCTGCTTTAAAAATGTATCCAGCATCACACAGTGCTGGCATTTGAACCCAAAACCATCAGACTCTGGAACCTGTGTTTTGACTGCTGTTTTAGTCATACACAAGGCTTCATGGGAAAAAGAAAACAAAAATAAGAAGTTCTGTGGTCAGTTTAAGAAAAACTGGAGGCCGGGCATGATGGCTCACGTCTGTAATCCCAATACTTTAGGAGGCTGAGGCGGGCAGATCCCCTGAGGTCAGGAGTTCAAGACCAGCCTGGCCAACATGGCAAAACCCCGTCTCTACTAAAAATACAAATAATAATAATAATAATGATAATAAAAGGCATGGTGATGGGCGCCTATAATCCCAGCTACTCGGGAGGCCGAGGCATAAGAATCGCTGGAACCCAAGAGGCAGAGGTTGCAATGAGCTGAGATCGTGCCACTGCACTCCAGCCTGGGCAACAGCTAGACTCTGTCTCAAAAAAAAGAAAAAGAAAAGAAAAATTGTAATCACTTCTGCCTCAAAAAAGACAGTACATAGTAGCATGAAGGGTCTGAGAAGTCTTATGGGAAGGGGAATGTTGATTTTGCCCCTGAGTTTCCCACATACTAAACATAACACTTAATTTTGAGTTTATACTCTAGAAAACACTGCTTGCCATAGTGGAAGGAGAATCTGGGTCTGTCGATTAGAAGAGTAAGAAAGAAGAAAATCTTTAGGTCAAAACGAATCCCAACACTTTGGAAGGCTAAAGTGGGAGGATCACTTGAGGCAAGGATTTTGAGACCAGCCTGGCCAACATTGTAAGACCCTGTCTCTACCAAAAATAAATAAACAAATAAAAAATTAACCGGGCATGGTGGTGCATGCTTGTGGGCCCAGGTAATCAGGAAGCTCAGGCAAAAAGATCATGTGAGCCCAGAAATTGGAGGCTACAGTAAACAATGAGCACACCATTGCACTCCAGCCTGGGTGATAGAGTGAGACCCCAACTCTTTAAAAAAAAAAAAAAAGCCTAAGATAAAAGAGTATAAGATTTGAAGTCTCATTTGGATGTGAGTTCAGGCTCCTCCTCTTATTGGTAATTACGGTGTTATTTTGGGCAAATTGTATATTCGTTTTGAGTTTCCCTTATCTGTAAAATGGGGTTGTTGTGAGGAAAAGTATGATTATATATGCAAAAGTGCTTAGTAAACAGTAAAGCTTGAAGTTGTTTTTAAAATAGTTATTTACCAAGTTTATTTCTGCCCTAGTATCTAGCACAGCAACTACCAGCTACTCGAACAATTAACAGTTGGAGGAATGAATGAAGTTTGCCTTCTGTGTCTCTGGGTTCTGTAACTGGTATGTTACAACTGAAAAACTTTTAAAATGAGACATTATTCCTCAAATTTTCTTTCTAAATTGTGTTTTTGCTGGTTTTTGTATTTTTGGAGTTATAATGAAGTCACTCAATTAGAAAATCAGAACGTGTGTTTCCTTCATTCACTGTATTGTACCCTGGTTTGGACTCCTTAGGGAGTTTATTATGTGTTTTTTTGGCAGCAATAAATGTTTTGCATGGTTCCAAGATGGTAATTTCATTCAACAGTGTATGTGTTTTTCTTTTTTTTTTTCTTTCTTTCTTATTATGCACTGCTCATTCCCTCAGATGTGGCCATCTGTTTTTTTTTTTTTTTTTTTTTAATAGGAATTTCTAATGTATCACCCTATTGATGTAGTTACTCTTACTGTTTGTATGATCAAGTCTAGCTCTAATTTATTAAGAACTGTCAGGAAGAGAATTGTGCTGCCGTTTGGCATGCCAGTGTGGTTTCCACTGATGGAGAGAGCACTGAGATGTGCAGGTCGTCGTTCACCCTCTGTGAGACATTTGTTTTCTAGCACCTGGCCAAAGAAACAAATATCAGTTTGAGATTGTTCCAGTAGGTAAGACATTGCACAAGGATTGAGAAATTTAAAAGAAAAGGCATTCAGATCAGTTTTAACACACCTCTTTTTTTGCTAGGATGGCATTGTTATTTCTAGAAAGATATGTGTTTTGCCAGCAGCTGGTTAGTTGGGTAGAGGGGAGCTAGCATTTTCTATTCCACGGTAATCTGACGGGGAGCTAGCATTTTCTATTCCACGGTAATCTGACTGTGGCCTAATCCCCCACCTCACCTAGGGGCAGCACATGACCCAGACCTGGCCAGACCAAGACTCAATCCCCTGGCTATGGTGACTGGTTTAGGGGCAGTTTTGTCATCTAAGAATTCTCTATGGCAGGGGTCCCCAACCCCTCAGGCTGAGGACCAGTACCAGTCCATGGCCTTTTAGGAACCATTCCACACAGCGGGAGGTGAGCAGTGGTGAGCATTACTGCCTGAGCTCTGCCTCCTGTCAGATTGGCAGTGGCATTAGATTCTCATAGGACCACAAACCCTACTGTGAACTGCGCATGCAAGCGAGACTGGCGCTGTGTATCTTTCTTGTGAGAATCAAATGCCTGATCTGAGCGTGGGACCTTCTTGTTCCCAAAACCCCATCCCCGGATCCCACCAGCCCACCGCCCAGTCCATGAAGACACGATCTGCTTCGTTTGATTGGTCCCCTCGGCGCACACAGCACGGCTTGATAGAACTATAGTCAAAGGATACTCGTTTTCTTTTGCTTTCCTCTGGACCCTCCACAAGAGCTGTCAAGATCATGAAAGCCTCAAATCATTATTTCCCATCGTGTGGGGAAAGACTAATAAGCCAAGAGAGAGGGAAGTAGAGTTCAATAATGGCAAAAGAGCAAGTTCTCATGGCAACCTTGACCATGTGCATTCAGGCATTTAATTTAAGCCAGGCTTACCCATAAACTTTTTTTTTCTTGAAGTATATAAACAACAGATTTCATTGTTAATGTCTGTTACTTGCAACTTAAAAAATCCTGAATAATGCAAAACTGCAAGAGAAATAAAAAGCAGACTAAAATGTGTATCATTTTTACATCCAAAGGAGATGACCATCCCAGTCATCTTCAGAATTGTCAGACCACAGTTGCAGTGTTACCTTCTGTCTAGGTGTGTAACAGAGGACCGTGGCACTCTAGGGCACTGTTATGGACTAAATTATGTCTCCCACAATTCACTGGTTGAAGCCCGTGACCTCAGTGTGACTTTATTCAGAGATAAGGCCTTTAAGGATGTAATTAAGGTTAAATTAGGTCTTAAGAGTGGGCCCCTAGTCCAATAGGACTGTGAAAGGAGGTGAAGACATGAGGGATGCTCATGCTCAGAGGAAAGGCCCCTCTGAGGACACAGTGAGAAGGTGGCTGTCCACAAGCCAAGGAGAGAGGCCTCCAGAGAAGGCAAACCTGCCAATACCTTCCTCTTGGGCTTCCAGAACTGTGAGAAAATACGTTGCTGCCGTTAAGCTGCCCAGTCTGTGGTATTTTGTTATGACAGCCTGAGCTAACTAAGATAGGCTTCTCTTTCAAAAGAAAGAAAGAAGAACAAGGTGAGGGGACTCAAGACCACGTCTGAACGGCAGTCCATTGAAGATCCTGGAATAAAAGGCTCTGGAAAGACAATCACTGTCTAGTCATTTCTCCAAGGTGTAGCATCCAGGTAGAAAGCTAGATGACACTGATTCAAGGAATCACTTCCAGGAAAGCCCTTCTAACAGGGGCCTTCTGCTCAGTGTCTGAGACTTACCTTTTCCTCTTTCATTCCCCCAGGTAGAGTTAATCTTCCTTCTCGTATACTCTAAAACTACTTTTGCACCTACTTGTGTTTCTATACTTCTCACGCCCTTTTGTTACTGGATTTGTCAGTCCCTGCCTTCTAGATATGCATTACTAGAAGGAGCACGTGACATTAATTCCAGGCCTGGCTGGTGTCCAGTATGTGTTTCAAGTCTTCAGCAGTGTTTGCTAAATGTACAAATAAAATATAGAATATTAGAACCAAAAAAGTTCCGTAGGTATCCCCTCGTTCAGATCTCTATGAGTCCTTCTTTTGGACACAGTGTTTACCTTTCACTTCCCCAGAGTAGACATGGCCAGTTCCCTTGAGGTATTTCCAGTGGGTAGTATTTCCAAAACAGCCACTATTTCCCAGGCAATCTATAGTTTTCTTCTTTCATTCATTCAGAGCTAAACATTAGGGATACAAATGGGATAGCTTCCATTTATTTATTCAACTATTGAGGGCGGAGAACTGTATTAACAATATGTCATTTAATTAACACCACATTCAGCAAGGTAGAAATTACAGAGGAGGAAACACACCTAGAAAGGGTCAGAGCTTGGTTGTGATCACCAGATTAGTTAGCAACAGGACTGGAACTAGCTGTACGGTTTCCCATTCTGCTGCTTTTCAGTGAGGGGAAAGTGTAGACTAAGGAAAGCTGAAATCATCCTGGGTAGGA